ATGAAGGGTCGGAGTATTTTGGTTGTCACAATAAAGTTTTCCTGATCCTTCCATCTTCCTCATTGGCAGTCAATTTTCTTTAGTCCCACCTTTAAACTCTGTTAGCGACCACTGATCCTCTCTCCATTCCCTTTGAAAACAATGATATCCCCCCCAAGACCCTGCCACCCCTCCCACCCCCTTTTTCCAAGTCAAAAACGGTGACCTATCTCTTACTTCTGATTAGCGCTTTTCAGAGCTCTCTCGTGTCACGTATACATCCATTTATAATCTTTCCCGAGAGAATATGAAGTTTAAAATCTCTTCCTTTTCCTTATAATGATAGATTTTCCATTTTCTTAGTTTAAATTTAAATTTCCAAAATAAAGAGCTATCTAACAATTACACGAAAGGAACTACCGATGGAATAAGACCTCTGTGGCGTGCTTTGTTTCTTAGTTTGATCCTCTCCTCGTTCCAAATGACTATTCTTCCCTTTTGCTATGCAGATAAACGAGGTTGGGATTCTGCTCATCCGGCCTTCTCCTGTAAAGAAATTCTGGACTCTGGACACTCCAAAGGAGACGGAGAGTATTGGATCGACCCAGAGAAGAGTGGAAACCCTTTGAAGGTCTATTGTGACATGTCAAGATATGGTGGTAAGAGAATGAATTGTTTTTTTGAGACACGAGAACTTCAACAGGAGTATATCTGACTTGGTAGAATTGTTATTGGAACGTTCTGGTCTTGGCTATTCTTGCTTTCTCTACCAAGATATCTATTATGTTTTGAATCAAAACTACAGCAGAATTCTCGAAAGTGATTGGTTATCATCAGCCGGCCGATTTAAACACTAATAGGACAGTGTACACGTCATATTTGTAATTGAACGATGTAATAGGACCGTTAAAGGGACAGTTAACACGTCATGCCTGTGTGAGTGGACAGAACGCGTCATGTGCGGGCGCTGTTGTCTCGCATTTCGCCGAGTAAACTGTTGTTTTTCGTTTTTATGAAAACGTATAACCGATGTCTAGTTTCTTTCTCAAATTTTGTCATAGTTTTGACTAATTTGTAACAGGCGTTCTTGTCGTCCAATTCTGTATATAATGATCCGAGTGATTAACAAATCGGACTCCCGCTTTGCGGTCGTACGATTCTGTAAATCACTCGTATGATTACAGACCCAATTGGACTCCACTCGGTCCTGTTACTATTTAATATGTCCAAAATTCTAGTTACATGGATGTCACCAGATCATTTATATTTGTTTTATTTTAGGAGGTTGGCTTCTGGTGTCAAATGTTGAGTTCGGAAGTCCCTCTCCTAAGGTGTCAGTTGAGACATCATACCGTGGAATAGGTAAGTCATACATGGTTCTGCAGGAAAGTGCCATGAAAGAACTCAGAAGACACTTGTCCTTCACTCAGCTGAGATTCCACTGCCACAAGAAACAGGGACGCACATTCCACGTGGTCACAGCTTCCAACAGCTTAGGCGAAGCTGTGGTCCGGTACTTCAGCGGTGAGACAGATGAGCAACCGGACGCCTGTGGTTCGTTTGTGAGATTGACGTTGGATGAAAATTCCGAGTTAGCCGGCATTTGCAAAGATTGGGGTCGACTAGTAAGTGAAGAGTACTTTGTTGGAAAGTGGGGACATGGTGAAGGTCAAGATAGGCTATACTCGTATCCCGTCTTGAGAAAAAACAAGTATCACGTTAGGGTCCTACTGCATAACGTTGACGATCTCAAAAAAATGGAATGTGATGATAGGTCCGGTCCCAATGTTGGCACAAACGGCGATTTCTGGAGAGTCTTTGTTCGTTAGTTGTGTCTATCTGTACACCAAGCAACCCTTGATTGTGCGAATAACAGTAACAAACGAATAAAGCAAATTAAAGACAGATGCACCGTTACACTCATCAGGTTATAAGTATTTTTTTTCTTTCCATTTCGGGGCAAGGGAAAGCAATCCTTATTGTTTCGCGTGGGGCCAGTCATTTTAATTTTTATTTTTTGAAAATATTTTCTCATACATCCCAAACCGAATGTAACTGCCAAAATTCACTTTTTGTACGTAGGCTGGCACACACATTTGCCACAGTTTCACGGTGAACAACCTTATCGCGCGAGAGTCGAAAGTTAAAGTTGTTGTCT